CAAAACAATTCCCAAAATGGTGTTAAAAAAAAGGGGAAAAAATTTTCAGCAGAAGAAACCCTATTTTAGAAAATGAACCAAAAAAAAAATCAAACGAAAGCACAGAAAAATAAGAGAACGAAAATAAATCTTAGAACCTAAAGGACCGAGAAAACCAAAAAATTTAAACACTGAAGACAACTGAACTCCACACCGGAAGAAGAAAGGAAGAAAAAGCTCTTCTTGCAAGGAAAAGCAAAAGATGAAGAACGAAAACATAGAAAGCAAAGGAAAACAAAAGAGTGAAAAGTAGAGGAGAAATAAGAAAGGAAAGCAAAACAAAAGAGGAGAAATGCAACGCCTAGAAAAGAAACAAAAAATCTAAAGGAAAATAAAAAGACCAAAGGCCAAAACAACAAAATCTCTGAAGATTAGAACCACGTCGCACCAGTAGAAGAGTGGAAAAAAAAAAATTCAGCCATGGCGAAAGAAAAAGAGAAAAGCAAAAGACTAAAGACTTGTTCGGTTGTATTTTTGAGTTACGGTGATTTGAGTGTGAATCTCAAAAAAAAAAATTCAGCCATGGCGAAAGAAAAAGAGAAAAGCAAAAGACTAAAAACTTGTTCGGTTGTATTTTTGAGTTACGGTGATTTGAGTGTGAATCTCAAATTAAATTTGAGTTATAATTTGAGTTGAAGTTGTAACTTGAGTTTGTATTTAGATGTGCACATTTGACTTATGATTTGAATTGAGAATCTATTTGAGTTTGTCTTTACATAGGTCAAAACTTCAATTTGTATTTAAATAGTATTTTAATAAAAACTCAATAGTAATGAAAAATTTTAAGAGAGTATATAGGTGAAATTTTATTCGTCTTTTCGTTGTGAATGCATAGAAAAAAAATAATTTCAATTAGAATTAAAATGAAAAAGTTATGACGCTTTTAAGAATAGAAAAAATATCGTTCATTAACTTGAGTTTGAGTTTAAAAAATTGAGTTGAAGGGAAAATTTAAACTCAGATTTTAGCTCTAAACTCAAGTTAAAATTCAAGTTCAAACTCAAATTTTATAAACAAATATGAACTTAAAAAAAATTATAACTTGAGTTTAAATTTTGTTGAGTTTTACTCTAAAATAAAATAAGCCCTAACCGATGGAAAAGAGATAAATAGGAGGCCAAATGACAGGTGTTCAGAGGAAGAGAAAGGAAAGAAAAAAAATAAATAGTTGGAGTGCACAACAAACGGGGAAAAGAAAAAGAAAAAGAAAAAGAACGAGAGGTTAAGCGACAGGTGTTCAAAGGGACACATATGGAATTTGCTCAAAACTAAATGACAACACAACACTGTTCTTTGAATAGTAAAACCCCCGACCTCTTATAGTAGATTAGGTAAGCTTCCATTGTTAATGTATCTTATACAAGCACATTCAAGCAGCCCTGCATTTTATGATTCAAATTACTTATTCAATTTTTAATTGATATCTAACCATCCATATTATGACACGTTATTTAATATACTTAAACATTATATTATTGAAAAGTTAGTTTGAAAGATATTTTAAATTTTTTAAATAAATACGTTTGTTTTAAGGATTCTACACGGTTTATATTATTATTTTTGATTTTGCTATAATATTTTTATCTAATAAAAAATTTAAATTTTAAAAATTAAAACTAAAACTACTGGTTTAAACTTAGGGCTGTTCATGGGTTGGGTTGGTGCGGGGTAGGATTTTTTTTTCCCGCCCCAAAGGGTGCGGGTTGCACATATTTGGCCCCAACGATGCTAGAAAAATTTCACAACCCAACGATGTTTGGGTTGGGTTGGGGCAGTACAAGGTGGGTTGGGTGGTCGGTTTCAACATTTAAAAAATCAAAGACTTAAAGTTCAATATAATATTCAAATTTCATCATTAAATAGAAATAACAACCACCTTTATTAGTCCATCTAACATCAAACATGAAGCAAAATAGTCCATCCAACATCAAATACAAAGCAAACATAAATTAGTCTACACTTATAAATTAGTCTTAACATAAAACAAATAGCTTAAGCAAAGCAAACATAGAGGCTTAAATCTTAATTCAAATCCATCAAAAGCAAGCATTGCAACATCAACCATCCTTATCAATCCACACTCATAGGCTCCTCAATGGTTGTAGTAGGACATGAAGTTGAGTTATTTACAAGAGAAATGAAAATAGCTTAAGTAATAATTTGGATAGTTTAGAGTTCATATAATAAAATAGATTAAGATACATACAAATTATTATCTTACCTAAAGATGTCTTACCTAATATCAGGGAGCCCAAGGTAGAACTTGGGCAGGTTGGGCTTAGGCCGAAAGCTTGGGGGTATGTTGTGCGGGTTGGGTTGGGGATTGCGGGTTGTTATGGGCCCAACCCGCAATCTGTCCCAAACACTTCGGGCCAGAGGTATAATGGGCTGAAAATTTAAAAATAATGCTGCGAGTTATTTTTTTCCACTTGGGTTGGGACGGGATGGGTTGAGTTTGCGGGTTGTTTGGGTTTATGAACAGCCCTATTTAAACTAATGAACTAAAAGGACCCGAACGGCTTGTCGCCAATGGCATTGGTATTCCAATTTTTTCTCCTAACATCTCTTTCCTTTCTCCCGTCATCTTGGAGATAAAAATCTCAAATTGTTTTGACAGCCACGAACTTTTTATGTGAAAGTTTTAGCTTTAATAGGTTACGACCAAGGCATCTAATATATATGATTATATATATATAGGCCTGGGTTGTAGTGAAGGAGCACTTTTTAAAATTATGTTCGATCGACTATGTAATAGAAGTTAATTTGACGGTTAAAAGTGATCAAGGACAAAGAAAAACTTTTATTTTTGTTTCTTTTATGTAAATGCTGAACAATTGGTTCGATATAAACCAAGTTTTATATAGAGGTGATTATATCATTTTCATAACCAAAATTATTGAAGTTTTGCAATTCATGACCTCAATTATACTGCCGGCAGGGACTTGGGATAGCATCACATGCATGTACTGTAGCCAAAAACAATGATGTGAATCCAAAGAAAAACTGAGAGATTAGCTGCCGTGTCAATTCCTTTGTCAAATCGTGTCCATTTTGTGGGACCAAATTGTGTTGGCATTTTTGCATAAATGGAGTAACTGATACATCCATCTTCAACTATCCAAGGTTTTGCTGTAGAAAAGAACAAGTTTTCCCCTTTGAAATCAAGTGGAGAAATTAATTAGCACAAGGAAAGTTAACATGTAATTAGTCAAGTCTCTGATTTGATATGCCTATAATATAGTATATAATGCATGCGCCGTCATCTTTGGCAATGCTTACAAAGATGTTCATTAGTTAATTATAAATTATATTTAATATCACAATGTCAAATAATATATGCCTCTCGATTAGGTTTCCTTTTTCTTTGAAGGTTTGCAAAAATGATCAGGCTTATCACCTATTATTTTATTCTTCTTCTTCTTCTTCTTCTTTTATGTGAAAGAAAAGGAGAAGCCAGTGGGGAAAAAAAGAGCTCTAACACTTTGTTCGATAACAAGGAAAGAAAAAGAGAGAAAATAATCAAATATACAAGACATGGAAAATATGAGTGAGATACCTGAAATTGTTTTAGTTTAGTAATATTATTTTAGTTGGAAAATCTGAAAATGGAACAATTCCAACAATAACATGTTTTTTGATGAATAAAGAGTAGTATGATCTAATAAGGGTATTCATATGATCCAATCAACTGCTCAACCGACTCAATCCAATACAATCTAATCACTTTTTTTTTACGGATAACCGACCTCATTTGAATTAGATTGATTTTCATTTCTTGAAAACCGACCTAGATTTCAAAGTTTATTTTTTTGAGTGAATACATGAATGTCTTATATAATACTTAGGTATGTTTATTTGCACAAATCATGACTTAAATTGTGTATGGGAGAAAAAAACATTGTAACAAAAAAGTTGAATTTGAATTTTTGTAAGAGAAAATACTATAACAATATGACTTAAGTCATGAAATAAACAAGGCCTTAGAGTTTAAAAGCTATCCAACTATAGATAAACTTGCATATTTGAACCAATAGGTATTATAATCATGGGATCATTATGGTGTAACTGTTATTTTTCAATAATATTTATCCTTCATATGATGCGGTCATTATTTTACGGTTCGTGTCATTAGTTTAAACATTTTCATTTATGCAAATGTTAAAGACAAGTGCATAGGTTTAAACTAAGGTTTAATATGGATTATTTTATGTAATTGCTTCTAATATAAAACCGATTAGTCCAAGCCAATTCAAACCAACTTTAATCGGTTTTTTTAAAAATAAAAAATAAATAAAATAAATAAAAAAGAGAACTTTTTTGCTAAACTCGGTAATAGTTATATCTATGCGTGTAAGAACAGAAGCACCTTCAATCTACTATAATCGTGGGCTATTGTGAGACCTCGTATGCCAGTCGTTGCCCATCCTAAGGTACCCTTCGTCCGAATCACGAATCTGCTCGTCACAGATTGTTTGATACATCGTGTCGATTACCAATTCTTTTACTTTGAGTTTCAACAATTGATATGCTCAACGGTTCAATTTCATATTTTACTTAGGTTAATACTCATGGTCGTCCAATCCCTCCCATGTTAGTTCTGGTGATCCCACACAAGTACAGAGTTATATACAGTTTAAGAAATTAGCAGCTCAAAATCAGCAATGACATACGACCGAAACTTAACTGAATTAACGAGAAACGAAGTTGGAAAATTCCAAACTTCCTAGTTTCTAAGACCTTTAGTAATGTTCTTATTTGGTGGAAAATATAAGTTAGCATTATTAGAGAAAAACAAAAAAAAACAAAAAAAAACAAAAAAAATAAACCTTAAAATGCATATTGAAACTCTAACCATATTCGAAGAAAAATGATAGCTATTGGCATAGATGTGAGCAATATATCCAGCCCTCACATAACATTATGAGACCCAAGTACCATACGTTTTACCACTTGAATATTTTTGTCGTACTACTATAGGGGCAGTGATACATCAAAAATGGTGGTTAATAGCAATGTTTTGTTAGAAAATTAACTCCATCAACAGCCTACAACCATCAATCATCTAGCAAAGCACCAAAGGATGCTCATTGAAGTTGGCAGAGAATTCACCGAAGTAAAGCAACAGTTTCTCACCCCTCATTAACAGAATAGAGATGCTGAGTACACAGCTTGCCCTCTTCAACAGTTTTACATTGTTTACTACCCAATCTCACAGCCCCACTATGTGTAACAAAACAAATTACATTATACAAAGCCAATAATACATAAATCCCATAGGAATGAAACACTTGATAAACAATGGTCAAGAGGCAAATTCTCATAAGGCTATTGATCAAGTATAAGAGTTATTTAAAAATTAAAACGAAAATGATGGATTAAGTTTTGCAGGTTGCGTTGTTGAGGCAGGGAAAAGAGGTCTCCCACATAACTCAGCCGATCCTATATGTGAAGACATACATATATTCTACAAGCTTATGTCAAGACAACCAAATAAAAGAAAAGGCAAACATCTTTGGTTAAATGAGTTAGAATGGTACCATACAACTAAACAATCTCAAACATCCTCCAAAAAATAGCTCAAAATCATTTAAAAGCTTATGAACCATAATAGTTCCAGAAGTTTCTTCCACTGAAAAAACATAATTCCAGAATTTCCAAACGATGATCTGCAATTCAGATAATGCTTCACCTGGAATCATTGATTACCCGTTCGTTTAACAATTCAAATCACAATGCAAACTTTTTGCTACTATGTTTTCTCTCACGAATATTTAAATTCAACTTTTTAGTACATTGTTTCTCTCACATAAATTCACTATTCAATCTAAGTTCTCAACTTCAACCCGTGAGTGGTGATTTGTGCAGACATAAACCAACATATCTCTATCCATAGATTAATGTATAATTTGTTTTGTTTCAATCTAGCAAACGATAAACCAATGAACTCAAATCCAACCATTTAAACTTCAAATCTTCATAATATCAACTGAAAAGTCATTGCAATTCAAGTAAAAATTAAAGCATGAACAGATTGATTAAAAAAAAGGTAAACGTAGCTATAATTACCTGAAACATACACAATTGTACAAAGATCTTGATATATGACTATTGAATTGCTGTTGCCAAGACGCCTTTGGCTTCCATTAGCCTCCACATATACCAAGACCCAAAAGAGCTATAAGGCTTCCATTTCTCACACAATCGCTCCATCTCCAGAGGTCTCGGCAACTCCTTTAGTCCGTACAGTCTCTGAACTCCTTTTCTGACCCCGAGATCACCGATCGGAAGCACGTCCGGTCTCCGCAGCGAGAAGATCATGAACATGTGAACCGACCAAACGCCGATTCCTTTAACCACGGTGAGCTTTGCGAGCAGAGCCTCGTCGTCCATTTCGAGAATCGAGGAGTCCGATAAAGTACCGTTCTTGTACTTTTCCGCCAGGTCATGGAGATAGCTTGCTTTTCTACCGGAGACGCCGATTTGCCGGAGCTGCTGAGCTGAGAGCAAGATCACCGAGTCGGGGACGACCGACGACTCGCCACCGCAGAGGGAGACGAAGCGAGTGTAGATCGATTTTGCGGCGTTGTATGCGAGTTGCTGGTAGAGAATGGATTTCGCAAGGGATTGGAAAGGCGAGCGGTCGGAATCGAAGTGTGGAGGACGGTGGGAGTCGATTAGGGTTGCGAGGAGGGGATCGGAGGAGCGTAAATGGTTGAGAGCAAGGTTGATTTCGCATTGGGACGATAATGGTTCTGTTAGGGTTTGGGGAAGAGAAGAGGAGCTCTGCAACTTCTGTTGTGGGGAGTTTTCGTTAATGGAGGTCTCGTCGTCGTCGCTTGGGGTTTTGGAAGAGAGCTTTCGGATTTTTCTGGCTCGGAATGGGATTTTGGAAGAGTTAGAGGGGCTTTCGGAAATTTGACTGGCCTCCGTTGCTGTGATTTGGGATTGAGTTTTGGAACGCTTCGCCATTGAGGTAAAGAGAGGAGAGAGAAACGGCGTGAATGTGGCGGGAGATCTAACGGTTTAGATGATGGTTTCCCGGTAAAACTAAAACGAAATGTTGATTGTGTCAGCGCTTTTGACTCTTTGAACTTAACGCCCATTCTCAGAGCGTATGTTGTGTAATTTTATAATTAACGTGTTAATTATAAATTATTTAAATATAAATTTTTTTAATATAATATTATTTATTGTGTTAAATTTTTTATATATTATATTTTATTGTAAATTTTTTATTACGTATAACATATAGAAGATTTGACATTTTTTTTATTAAAAAATTTAATATTGATTAAAATTTTTATTTTTTCATATAATTATTGTAATTTTTATATTTTTTAATTATTTTAAAAATAAAAATTTATTTTTACAACTTTTAAAACTTAATAATTATAAAAAAATAAATAAATTTAACATTTCAAATAGTATTATACATGTAGTAAAAATAAAAATAATATATCATATGACATTTTTTTATGTAAATATATAATTAGTATTAACATTTACATTAAAGATTGTCTTATTTTACATATGAACTTTATCTTACACTCTGTTTGATACGATAGAAAAGTGGAAGAAAGGAAGTGGGTGGAGGGACTAGTAGATAGAAAATAATAAAATTGGTTATTTAGTAGGAAGGAAGAGAGAAAAGAAAGAAAAATAGAGCTTATTGATAACTAAGGGTCCAATTGATAACTAAGGGTCCATTTAGTATGACGGTTTAAATCTAGATAGTTTGAACTTTTAAGTTTGAATAATATGAGTTTTGAATTATAGGGTTTAAACTTTGAGTTTAAACTATATATCTTTAAAGTTTGAATTATGTCTAGTTTGAATTAGTGCTTCGAATTGGCCAAAATCAAGGAGAGAAGTGCTTTTTTAAGGTTCAGAAAAGTGGTTTATCAAGTTTGTTCATTAAATAATATAACAAAACATTATTGGTTAAACATTATTTAGACACTGAAAATTTGGTAGATAATATGAATACTAATGTTATAACCGCAAACATTGTATGCAATAAGTCGAACAACATCAACAGTGTAAACAATTACCCCTACAATTATTTCCTTTTCTTGCAAAAAGAAAAACAATTTTTTTTTTCATTTTAATTTTTTTTATAGAAATTATCATTTTAGCTTTTACCAGATTAATTAATTCAGTTTTTTTTTTTTTTTTAATGCAGTGGTCGGGTTCCTTCAGCACCAGTAATTAAACAATTGTGTAATCCAACTTGCGGAAAACTCAAACCTAAATTCGCAATCCATTGGCTTTGCCAAAAGACTTATTGACAAGTCTTATCCTTTAAACTGCAATTCACATAGTCCATTCAATCCGTCTGAGGTGATATAATTTTGTTAATAACTTTACTCGCTCTTTTGCTAAAAAAGTACCGAAATTTTCACTTTTTTCCTTGCTAAATCAAATAACACATTTTACATTTAAAAGAAACACACAACTAGTTTTGTACGGTTGTTCATCCAACAAATTATGTACTTTTATTAAGCAAAAGTTTTTTCATGATGTATAGATGATGACAAACGTAATTAGTAAGAGCAGCTCCAACGGGACTAGCCATTTATATTTGTAGCTAAAATAATTTATAATTTTATCTTTTTTTTTGTTTTTCTTTACTCTAACTATTAGCTAAATGTTTAGTTATTTTGTTAGTTAAAATAAATTTTTAGCTGTTTTAATTAAAATTTAGGAGTCTCTAAAGAAATGCTCTAATATGGAGTAAGAATAACATGCTATTTCATGACCAAATAAAGATGACATGTTGTTTTGAAAACAAGAGTGTAAAAGTATGGGACTTGTTAAGAAAACATGTTGGATCAAAAGGCTTATCTTTAAGCTAAGCTCAACTTGGAAAAGAAAGTTAATCTCATGGAAATCTTTAAGTAAGAAGGTCAAACATATTCCATAACCCAAAACCATATGACTTACAGTGCATATAATCCAATATAAAATGTATATAATATGTATTCGCATGCATAAATGCCAATTGATGGAAGCCTTTACCTAGAGTCCTGCATCCCGAATGCAATTGAAAAAACATTTCGGTTTGATCCCGCAAAAAGAATATTAACATATATGGGTTGGCTCGGCCAATATTAGGATAAGATTGGGCCATATTTTATTTTTGCATGCCCAGCCTATCTTCTAATATAGGCCGGCCCAGTCTTTCTCTTCAATTTATGTAGGTTGGACCGAGTGGTCAATATTTACAGATGTGCATATGCATTGCATTTTTAATTTAACCAAACCAATGGTTTGAACTAAATCTTAGAAAGATTTTTCAAACACTAGTTTGAACCAATTCCTTAATTCAAATCATTTAAACTAGTTTACAAATGACTAAAAACGATGTAAATTTATTGAGAAATCGCCCACAAAGTTCATTCTTATTTTGATCCTTAAAGTTTAAAAACTCTCACTTTAATTATTGATTTTTACTCAAACCTTTTTTTGTTAGAATTTTTATTGAAAACAAACAGAAAAAAAAACCTATATGAACACATTTAACTTCTTTTTTCGTCTTTTCTAAAAAATTCTAACAAAAATTATTGAATGAGACTAATTCAAAATTAATGGGCGACGTGAGAGTTTGCAAAGTTTGAAAAGTAAATTGAAAATTATGACCCTAAATTTTAGGGGCACAATAAGATAACCCTTTTCTTTTCTTTTAGGATTAATCTAAAAATAGGTCTACATACTTTATGTTCCTTAAATTTTACTTTGGCCTCTAACTTTAAAAAAATAAATTATAAAAGTCTTATTGTGGTCAATAATTTTTTAAAACGTCCTAAATTTAACTCTGTTTGTTTCAATTTTAGTCTTTTTGACAGTTTAATATTTAAAAGAGTATGAAATAAGGATGATAATTTTTCGTCATACAAACAAAATGTTTTTTTCCTCAACATCACGTGCATATTCCGTCATTTTTTAACACCCAATTAATAGATGAATTAAAACTGAAACAAGCTTGGAATTAGGTTGGAAATGTTTCAAAGTCAAGACTAAAATGGGATTAGAATAAAGTTCAGGGGCTATTTATAGAATTGACACATTGTATGAAGATAAGTAACAGCTGAAAATGTCGTTTGAGCAAGCGCATTTATTGGTTAGGTATTTGGATGAAGTGGAAGCAAATCGTTTCCAAATGAGAGGGCTGTTTAGTAAATTATGACTTGAGGAATATAAACAAGAGAAAATATCTACAGCAGAACCTTTCTCTACTTGACAGTTCATTTATGACCAGTTTCACGATAACATACGTAATTCTGTGATCAATTTAGGCTGGCAACTGATTTGAGCCTATAAGCGTCCAAGGCTTATTAAATCATAAACTAATAATCCTTTTCATGTCTCTATTATCATTGCCTTTTAGAGGCTTCAACATTTTACGGCCCTCCCAAAAACTAGAGAACAAAATAACAGCACCTTTTCACATGCAACACCAACAAACGTTTGAAAAAAGTAAAAGTACATATTTAACTCCATGGCATTGAGATGGCACAAAAATAAAATAAAATAAAAACTCAGGATTTCAAAAAGCGACAAAAGAAAAACACCCACTTGCTAAAATTTAAGGCCAATGTTTCACATGCTATAATTAACCAAAACCTTTTCTTAGAAGGGAAAATATATATATATATATATATATGTATATCCTATCACCACCTACTAATGATATACGGATAAGTTTCTCCGACCAAACCACCCTTTACACCTGTTTTTTTTATATTTTTTTATTTTTTGTGTGACATGCATTTTTTTTCTAACCAATAGAAACTATTATTTTACCAATAAATTAATTTTTTAATGGTAAAATGTGTACATACGTGCATTAAAAAAATTTATAGTATGTATATCCGTAAAAAAAACCAATCTAACTATTAAAACATAAAGTATGTTTGTTTTATAATTTAAATTGAGAATTTAAGTTATTTACGTTAGAGAAAATATTATACTAAAAAAATAAATTTAAATTTTTATGAAAAATACATAATAATAAAAGAAATTAAATTGTAATTTGAGTTCGTAAAGAATAGACAATAATTTCTATAAGTAGGGCACCGCAAATTTGGTCTAAAAAAGGAAAAAGGAAAAAAAGAAAGAAAAGAAAGTATAAAACATTTATAACTGACCCGTACAGCAACTTGTGCGTCACATGGACATCTCCTGATCTCTCTAACGAAATCGCCAAAACCATCCACAAAATTCTGTCAGGAGACCACCGATCCCCGATCCTCGCAAAATTCTTGCTGTCTCTGGCTCTTTCTCTAACCTTTTCCTCTCTCTCCAAACTCTATACATAACACATGATATTCAAAGCTTTCTTGTGTGTGTAGTAGCCGTTGACTGTTAGAGGAAAAGTGGGTTGTTTTCCTTTTCCCGGATTCTCAACTCAACTGGGTCGAGCTAAAAAATGAGTTTCAGAGACGACGGCGGTGAGGATGGGCTCAGAAAGCCGTTCATACACACCGGAAGCTGGTACAGAATGGGCTCCAGACAGTCCTCCAGCATTATAAGCTCGTCGGCTCAGGTGCTTCGCGATGGCTCTGTCTCTGTTGTTCTCTGTGTCCTCATCGTTGCTTTGGGCCCTATCCAGTTCGGATTCACGGTCAATCTTCTCACCCCAATTCTTTCACAATCTTCAATTTTTGATTAGTTTATTAGCTAATATGTTACTGAATTGGGTTCCTTTTTTTTTTTTTGTCTGTTCTGTTTCAGTGTGGGTATTCTTCTCCTACTCAATCCGCAATCATCAATGATCTTAAGCTTTCTATTTCGGAGGTAAGGATTTCAATTGGGTTTTCCTTTTTCTTGTAAAGAAAAAAAAAGGAACTTTTTTTTTTTTTTTGAAATCTTGTTCACTTAAGTTTGATTGGTGCAGTTCTCTTTGTTTGGTTCTTTATCGAATGTGGGAGCAATGGTTGGGGCAATAGCAAGTGGGCAGATTGCAGAATACATTGGCAGAAAAGGGGTATGACGTTTTATTCATTTTTTTAATTCTCGTCGAAAAGCTAAGATCTTGTTTCGTTTCGTTTCGTTTTGAGCTTAGTTTTAGCTTATAAGGAAATGTGGCTGGTTTTTTTTAAGTAAAAAAAAAAAAAAAACCAATACCAGAACTAGATAATTTTGGTTTTCACTATATATTGGAACTGATGTACAACCATCTGAATTAACAATAACACTCGAAGTTCGCATTTTTCCTTAAAAACCAAATGGATTATTTTCTATGTTCTTTATTATTATTGTTTCTTTTTTTCGTTTACAGTTACGTAATGGCAGTGGCAATTAATGAGTTTTGATTACTAACTTAAGCATCTGCTTTGTTTTGTTGAATTGCAGTCGCTGATGATTGCTGCAATTCCTAATATAATTGGATGGCTCGCGATATCATTTGCCAAAGTAATAATCCCTTAAATCTTGAACTTCTATGTATTTGTTTGGGTCCTTACAAGGTTCCTAAGGAACATAATGCTTTGGCCATTTTGTAGGACTCATCATTTTTGTTCATGGGAAGATTGTTAGAAGGTTTTGGTGTGGGTATAATTTCTTACACGGTAACTTTCTGAATTCCGACACACCTTAGACCTTTTGGGAGAATAGTGAAGACATATCTGGTACTGATTTGTGATGATTGCATATAGGTACCCGTATATATCGCAGAGGTCTCACCTCAAAACATGAGAGGAACCTTGGGGTCTGTTAACCAGGTTGGTTCTAACTTAATTTTTGTTACCAATGTTCTGATATTTCCATATTTTATTTATGTATGAACTGAAGTAGTCCTTTCATTAACAGCTTTCGGTGACTATCGGAATAATGCTGGCGTATTTATTGGGACTATTTGTCAACTGGAGACTGCTTGCAGTGTTAGGTGAGCCTAAATTTTTTACCTTGTTTGCTTAAAATTTGTAATTAAAGGTGTGGAATGTTGCGTCTAAAACAAAGTTTATACGATCATTTGAAAAAGTTGTATACCTTTTGTTGTCTTCTGCACGTACATGTGTTAAAAATCGAAATTGAGGTAAGAAAAGTTGCTTGTGAAGCAAAGTTTTAAGATCATTACACAAAGCTTTATGCTATTTGCAATTCTCTCATGTGAAATTACCAAGCAATCTTACACTAAAATAATGGTACTTTATTTAGTGCACACTCTTAAAATATTGGTAATTTATCTGCAGGAGTTTTGCCATGCACAATATTGATACCTGGACTATTTTTCATCCCAGAATCGCCTCGATGGCTTGTAAGAATCATATAATCTTTTATTTATTCATTTGATGCTAATATGAGCTTGTTTCTACTGTCAACTGACCACTTTTTTGTTTTTGTTTTTGTTTTTTTTTTTTGGGTGGGGATGTTAAGGCCAAAATGGGGATGACAGAAGATTTTGAAGCCTCCTTGCAAGTTTTAAGGGGGTTTGATACGGATATCACCACAGAAGTGAATGAAATCAAGGTATCAAATGTCATATTTCTTCAGAAAAAAGAAAAAAATATGTCATAACTTTGGGCAAAAGGAGAGGAAATTCTATTGATTTTTCTGCTTAAGATTATGCTATACTATCTAGAATAATACCTGGTCGATGACAAACTTGAGAATGTTTTCTTACTTCTGGTCCACATGAGATTAATGTTGTTTTTAACCATCTACTTTCTACAGAGATCCGTAGCATCATCGACAAGCAGAAGAACTGCAATCCGGTTTGCAGATCTCAAGAGGAAAAGATACTGGTTTCCCTTGACGGTAGACTGCTTCTTATTTCATTTTTGAAATTTAAATCTCGGTTTTCGATAGTTGATCTCTATATTCTTGATATTCCAAACTGCCTACTTACTATAGTCTATATGTTCCAGATAGGAATTGGCTTACTTGTGCTTCAGCAACTCAGCGGTATCAACGCCGTTTTATTCTATTCCACCAACATCTTTCAAAGTGCAGGTTAGACCAATGTCTTGCAAGTTTTGATTTGTTATATTGTCAACTAAAGTCTTTAGATTCAGATTCCTACACATCCTTGTGTCAATCCTCAGAACACACGAAATACTATTTCAATTTTTACATGTACGTATACATTATAAAACAAATCTGTGCTAGTTGAGAGAGGAAAAAAAAAACTGTGCTAGCATGACCTGCCAAGCTTATTCTACTAGAAAGGGAAGTACTTCAAAAGTTTGCGTGATTTTGTAGCAACTTCTTCATGTTTCTCTGTTTTCACGTGGAGAAAAAGGAACAGATAAAACCTACACCAGGTTTCCTCTTTGGTTTACAAATTTATGACACTTCAAAAGTTTCAACTTCCTATCAATATGTGGAACATTAAACCCAAACGCCGCCTTGATAGAATTAAGAAGTGAAAATTGGTTTCTTTTGAGTGCCAACTATTTGAGATTGATGAATTGTTCACTCAACTGCTATTGTTTTGACAGGCATTTCATCTGGTAATGCTGCGACATGTGCTATTGGGGCCATTCAGGTATATTATATGTGCCATCTTTTGTAGCATTTTTGCTTTCATCATATCGGTGTTTGGTTTGTTGGAATAGAAATTTTACCTATGTGTCATTACAGGTTTTGGCCACTGCAATCACTACCTGGTTATTGGACAAAGCCGGTCGAAGGCTGCTTCTTATTGTGCGCAAACATTTCACTCAATCAACTGTTTATATTATCTAATTCGCAAACATTTCACTCAAATCAACTTAAATTTATTTTGTAGGTATCGGCAGCTGGAATGACTGTTAGCCTCGCCCTTGTTGCAGTTGCATTTTTCTTGGAGGTCAGTGTTGATGATTTTATGTTCACAATTTCTATCCATATGTACAACTACAATATAATGTCATTATCAATATTAAAATAATTTGGAACAATTTGTTAATATGGCTTGCCTTTTGATGCCTTCTCTCACTCCACTAGGGCATTGTACCAAAAGACTCTCATCTCTACACTGTGATGGGAATATTGTCACTCGTGGGGCTTGTGGTATGATTTTTTTTCCTGCTTGTTTTCCTTTTTTGTTTTCAACGTAATTAATACTTGTAAGCATAACCTGATTTCTTTTTCCAACCATTTCCATCCAGGCCATGGTGATTTCCTTCTCTCTGGGACTTGGACCTGTTCCATGGGTTATCATGTCCGAGGTACGCAATTTTTTGTTTCAAATTCTACAATTATCTCATAGGAACTTAAGCTTGAGATAAGTATGAGAAGTTGAAGTACTGATATCCTCCCCTCAACCTTTTCTCAAAAAATGCGCTTCCAGATACTTCCGGTGAATATTAAGGGTCTCGCTGGCAGTGTAGCAACATTGGCGAATTGGCTGACAGCATTTGTGACCACGATGACCGCGAATTTACTCTTGCATTGGAGCAGCGGAGGTCTGTCTCTGTTTCACAGATATGTAAATGTGGATGCTTATTTTTGCATTGCGTGTATCATGAACTGACAACATTTTGTAATTGTCAACAGGGACGTTCACAAGTTACGCTGTAATTTCTGCCTTTGCGGTTGTTTTTGCAACGCTTTGGGTTCCAGAGACGAAAGGAAGAGCTCTGGAAGAGATTCAGCAATCATTTAGATGATTATCTTGTTCTTTTTCCTCTTTCTTTTTCTTCCTCAAGAATGTATGTCTTAATATGGTTTCAAGTTTTGTCATGCCAAGCGTCGATTTTTAAGCGAGGATTGGTTATGTTAATTGAATAATTCTCATGTTTCATTCCAAGAGTTTCCCAACCAAAGATCTTCAATGTACGAAATATTCATTCAAATTTTTATAGCAATAAATAGATCTTCTCTCCACAAGATGGATTAAATTCAGTTATTTAAAATCTCAAACACAGACGGAGTTCTTTACCGAAAACTAGCAAGCGCTGAGGAGTAGAAAACTATATAATTATAGAACATAAATTATCTCATTTTGGGGCTCAATCTTCATGGAGAGAAGCAAAGAATTGCTTGAGACATCTATTGTAAACACAAGGCCTCTCCAAGTGAACTAAGTGACCTGCCTTCTTTATGCCTTGAAACGTTGTGTTATCTCCTAGTTGCCTGTAAACACACCAGCCAATGTTTATGGCAGTGTATAAAAGGGAAATACCATCTAGCATACTAGTACTAGTAGGCTATCAAGCAAGTACAAAGACACACTTCAATGATGTCCGGCACCATAATCCACATCAGGCAATTCTCACCTGTGACTTGTGTTCGACACCATAATTCACGTCCGCATTTGAGTTGTGTCTAACACAGCAATTCACACGTGAGAAGCACTCAATGTAAATTGGGTTGTCGGTAGTCGTACATCATTAAAGTCTAATCATGAAATTCTGATTTATTATTTTTGTGTAAATTAACTAACAGTTGTACACGTAGTATTATAAGGTCATTCTGATTTATTATTTTTGTGTAAATTAACTAACAGTTGTACACGTAGTACTATAAATCTTTGCTCAAAAAGGTATTAGGGATTCCTTAAACTTACTCTTTCATGTTTTGATTAGAATTTGAGTTTTGCTACAGTAAAAAGCTCTCACAAACAATCACATCTAACTTTTTTGCTACAGTAAAAAGCTCTCATATAAAATCACATCTCAACTCGAATTAAAAACTCAGATCAGCGAACTAAACGGGCCCTAAATTTTTGCTCAAAAATGTGTTAGGGATTCCTTAAACTTACTCTTTCATGTTTTGAGCAAGTTCTTGCTTGAAAAGCTCATCATTCTCACCCCACAAGAGGTGTATTCTCTGCAAAAACACACGTAACAAGTGAACCGACGAAAGAAAATAAGAAGTGGCAAAATGTCTAAGAAAACAAAACCAGTACAAGTCTGGCAGAAGGATTCGAGATTACCTGTGGGAAATTGGGGATGGTTGGGTCTTTCTCATTGTCGACGACCAAAGCTTCAAGAAGTTCGCTTCTCTCCTTCCTGTTGGTGAACATAACCTATAATGGCTTACAGAAAAATTTTAGTTCCATAAAAAAAAAAAAAAGAATATTTGAACACAATAAAACAAGAAAATTTGAACTTCATATTTGGTGGATTTTTATTAAAGTTGGAACGGTATATTACGCTAATTTCTTATCCTGTACATGTCATAGAAAGAGATCTATTCAGGATGCATGTGTGCCAATACACACCAACCTATATGCCTAGATCCTTACCAACAGGTGAATTTGCCTGTGTTATGCTGTTAGGAGTCATGTACTGTCCATTTATTACCCAAGATAAGTCAGACTATACCTAGCGAGTCATATAAATTCAGTTCCCCTAATGGTCTGCTTGCCACAACTAGGACTGGTAATATGGGTCACGACACGACTCGAAAATGACACGAATTTTGTAGGTTAGGGTTGAGAAAAAAAATATTCGGGTCAAAATTGAGTCGACCTGAATTTGACACAAAAAATACGGGTCAATTCGGGTTGAACCCGCCTAACCCGAACACGACACGAAACTCGTAAAAAACTAAAAAATACATATATTTTTCATTACATATTTTAAATTTTATTATGAACTTGTGATATCATGATAGTTATACTCAAAATCTTATACTATTATTTACTTAATTTCAATGGATGTTATTGTAATTTAGTATTTTATGAATTTTAAGTTATTTCTAATATGCAAAAAACTAAATAAAAGTATACAATTTTCGTATCAATTTCGGATTCACAGGTCAATTTCGTGTCATGGGTCATTTTCAGGTCGTGTCGTGTCAACTCGTAAAGTAGTCGTGTCGTGTTTGTACTGCGGTTTTTAAAAAATTTCGTGTCACGGGTTGACTGTAAATTTAAAAAAAACGATCAAAATACGATACGAACACGACACGTGACACGAATTGTCACCCATAGCCACTACTATTATGTATGTGAATGTTATTTGGCAGAGCTAGCATTGTAGTTTTGTAGGACGTACTATTTTTTTTCAATTAAAAAAATAACAAAATATATATAAAAAAGAGAAAATATAGGATTAATAGCAAATAGCGTATGCTAGTATAGCATATTTTAAATTTTCATTAAAAAAAATCATTTCCAAATTTATCCACGCTTGTTGGGCTTCCATTTCTTTGGTTTTTCACATAGTCAATCATCTCTCTCAATTTCTCTCTTTGTCACCGGCATCGTGGCGGGTACCAAGGCCGCTGCCAATAAATACCCTATTTACTCATAAATATGGTATTTAACAATTACTGGCACAACATCTGCACCGGTGTTGACGTCTATATTTACGGGTAAATACGATATTTTTCAGTTATCGGGCCGGTGGCCGACTATCGATAAATACTAAATATATGAGTAACTACAGTATTTACCAGTTATTCGTGTCGCTGTCAGCGTCCGTATTTATGGATACTTATGGTATTTACAAGTCTTCAGTGCCGATGGTGAGTGCCCAATAAATACTGTATTTCTAAGTAAATATAATATTTATAAGTAAATATCATATTTATCGATCGCCGATCAACTATATTTATAGATAAATATAGTATTTAACAGTCTCCAATGTCAATGACCGATGACTATAAATACTGTATCTTCACGTAAATATGATAATTACATATAAATACCATGTAAACCAATCATCGGCCGCCGGCGTTAGTCGACCTGACCATATGGGAATGAGAGAGAGGTGCAGAGGAGAAAGAGTGAGTTGATGCATATTTTTGAGTTTTTAATCGTGATTAGAACTTAAAATATTAAATTATGCTATTTACTAACCATTTTAAAAAATTATGTTATAATTTATTAAGAGAGTCATATAAATTCAGTTCCCCTAATGGTCTGCTTGCCACAACTAGGACCGGTAATATGGGTCACGACACGACTCGAAAACGACACGAATTTTGTAGGTTAGGGTTGAGAAAAAAGATATTCAGGTCAAAATTGAGTCGACCTGAATTTGACACAAAAAATACGGGTCAATTCGGGTTGAACCCGCCTAACCCGAACACGACACGAAACTCGTAAAAAACTAAAAAATACATATATTTTTCATTACATATTTTAAATTTTATTATGAACTTGTGATATCATGATAGTTATACTCAAAATCTTATACTATTATTTACTTAATTTCAATGGATGTTATTGTAATTTAGTGTGTTATGAATTTAAGTTATTTCTAATATGCAAAAAACTAAATAAAAGTATACAATTTTCGTGTCAATTTCGGATTCACAGGTCAATTTCGTGTCACGGGTCATTTTCAGGTCGTGTCATGTCAACTCGTAAAGTAGTCGTGTCGTGTTTGTACTGCGGTTTTTAAAAAATTTCGTGTCACGGGTCGTGTTCGGGTTGACAGTAAATTTTAAAAAAACGATCAAAATACGATACGAACACGACACGTGACACGAATTGCCACCCCTAGCCACTACTATTATGTATGTGAATGTTATTTGGCAGAGCTAGCATTGTAGTTTTGTAGGACGTACTATTTTTTTTCAATTAAAAAAATAACAAAATATATATAAAAAAGAGAAAATATAGGATTAATAGCAAATAGCGTATGCTAGTATAGCATATTTTAAATTTTCATTAAAAAAAATCATTTCCAAATTTATCCACGCTTGTTGGGCTTCCATTTCTTTGGTTTTTCACATAGTCAATCATCTCTCTCAATTTCTCTCTTTGTCACCGGCATCGTGGCGGTACCAAGGCCGCTGCCAATAAATACCCTATTTACTCATAAATATGGTATTTGACAATTACTGGCACAACATCTGCACCGGTGTCGACGTCTATATTTACGGATAAATACGATATTTTTCAGTTATCAGGCCGGTGGCCGACTATCGGTAAATACTAAATATATGAGTAACTACAGTATTTACCAGTTATTCATGTCGCTGTCAACGTCCGTATTTATGGATACTTATGGTATTTACAAGTCTTCAGTGCCGATGGTGAGTGCCCAATAAATACTGTATTTCTAAGTAAATCTAATATTTATAAGTAAATACCATATTTATCGATCACCGATCAACCATATTTATAGATAAATATAGTATTTAACAGTCTCCAATGTCAATGACCGATGACTATAAATACTGTATCTTCACGTAAATATGATAATTACATATAAATACCATGTAAACCAATCATCGGCCGCCGGCGTTAGTCGACCTGACCATATGGGAAGGAGAGAGAGGTGCAGAGGAGAAAGAGTGAGTTGAGGCATATTTTTGAGTTTTTAATCGTGGTTAGAACTTAAAATATTAAATTATGCTATTTACTAAGCATTTTAAAAAATTATGTTATAATTTATTAAGCAACTTATTAAATATGTTATTTCACTCCTTCTCTTTATTAAAAAAAAAAAAAAACTATTACAGTACTTTTAAGAACCACCATATATATATATATATTGTATATGTAATGTAAAGTTGTGGTACTTAAGATACGTGGTACTCCATGGATTCTTGTAATCCATACATACCATTTGCCACTCATTTGGTCCCACCATGATAAACCGTATTTTTGTCGAATTGTGATCTGGCAGCTGATAAAAACTAGTTCCCTTTTAGCAATAAATAAATAAAATACTAGTGCCACCTGCCACAAATTTTATCTATTTAGGTACAGTTGGTTTAGCGATGTCGTAGTGACAAGGTGGCGGCAAATTGCCGATAATATCACCACGTCGCTCTTGCCCTTTTGACATGTGCATGATATTGTTCTCATAAGCACCGTAAATTTTTGTCCTGTTAAGGTATATGTCTCATCATTATTCTTCTAATTTTCTCTATCATTCAACTTGTTATATCTATTGTTTTACATCATGAAAAAAATACTTGCAAATAACTAGGCGAAAACTTCTTTCTTCCTTCATCTTTCCCCTCTTCTTTTTCAGTTCTTTACTTTTTTTTTTTTTTTTTTTCCTTTAAAGAAGAATAACTACGCCCCTTTTTCATTCAAACTAGATAGAGTTTATTTCCTCAAAAAAAAAAAAAAAATGATATAGTATTCGTCACATCTCTAGCATATGTGTGATTTATTATAAAAATGCAAAATTATTCATGACAATAGGCGAAAAAACAAAAACACAAATAAAAAACCCAAGGTCAAGTATACCAAATTTATTGAGGGAAAAAAGCTGAATATAATATGACAACAGTTTCAGCTAAAAAAAGCTATATCTGGTACACAGCGAAACGCAATTTCCAGCTTTCTCTACCTAATTGTCAATTTTGAAACATCCGCAAAAATAGTATGACAACTGATAAGTAATTCCCTTACGGCCAGCATGAGAAATATTCTTCGTTCTAGCTAGCTAAGAAAGAAACACGTTGTATCCTAGCTTCCTTTTACTTATTTACTTAATTTCTCGCCAAGAGTACTCTAAGAAAGTGCTCTAAACCTTAGTATATACTTTATCTATGTCATTGTTCTTAAAGTAATTATTAGAATTGATTGTCAGATAATGTATAGCTCTATTATCACTTAATAGATCATGAAAATACTTCAGGAAGTCTAATAACCTGAACCTAAAAACTAAATAGGATCATGCATGACTGAGTACATATATATACCTTACCTATATTATTGTTCTTGTAAATTGTTATAATAAGATATAGTAAGTACTAAATTGATTGTCAGATAATTTTTGGCTCGATAATCACTTAGTTAATTGAGAAAAATGAGAATTTTGTGGTAAATTATGAAAAAATTTCTCGTTTTAATGTGTTTTTAACGGCATATAACGTTTAGAAAAAAAATGCATGATAGATCCAGTAAGCGCCTGAAAAAACATAAGCTAAACTTGGAAACTATTTGATATTGGCACTGACCTCGAGATAGTCCTTGTGAAGGCGATCTGGGAACCAAAGCTTCTTATAGACAGCAACAGAGAGAAGTGCCTTGAGACCCTTCACGGAATTCGGAAGCAAAAGCTCCGAAGAAGAAGCGAACCCGAGCCTCTCCATCGTCGTCTCGCTGACGGAGCAAGTCATGGCGAGTATCGAGCCAGACACCACCAAGGCTCGGACCAGCTCCGGGTACAGCTGGGCCATCTTGAACCCCACCATCCCACCATAGCTGAACCCGACAAGAATACACTTCTCCACCCCCAGCTTCCTCAATCCCGCCGCCAAACACTCCGCCTGAAATTCCGGCGACCTTCCGGGTTTGTCGGTCGTCGAGCCGCCGAAGAAGAGGAGGTCCGGGACGTACACCGAGTACTTTTTTGTCAGCGCTCCGACCTGGAACTGCCACGTCACAATGCCCTCGGCGGCGAACCCGTGCACCAGAACCACCACAGGCTTGGCGGGCTTTTTAGTGGGCTTGGGCTTTTGCTTTTCTTCTCCTTTCTTGGGCTTTGTGATGGTCTCGTTTGGGACCCAGAAGTTCATGACCGTGCCGGGCTCGATCTCCACCGTGTGGGGACTCACGCCCGCCATCTTCATTAGGCCGTGAAGTAATGGCCTCTGTGCTGCCACTAGGTTCACCATGTTTTTCTCTCTCTAGAAAATTTTTGTTTTCTTTTTAGTTGTTTTGCTTAGTCTTTTTATAGACAATATCATAAGATGACTTGCAAATGAGCGAAAGCGAAGTTTTACATTGTGCGAGGAAATATTGGGGTGTTTGGTGCGTGGTTGTTATGTGTGACTGTATTCACTTGTCGATGTTTTATGAATGTAAAAAGTCTAATCAAATCATTTGGTCAGATTGGCAAACGTAGAAGTTGCGTCCAAACTTCAAAATTAACTTTTAATTTATATATACGTTAATGTTGTGTCGCTATCCTAGAGTCGAGTGATGCTGCAGTATAATATACACACGTACATATACTAAATTTTTTAATAATGGATAAAGCAGGTTGTTAATAAGCTATTGTTAAGACAGAAGAAATAGATATGGCCATTACAAATATATATATATATATATGTATATATATGTATATATATGTGTGTGTATACTGCTAGAAAAATAAAAAAATAACATTAAAAACTCAAAATTATTCTATTCAAAGTGACAAAGTAGAAGAATTCTTGTTGTATAGGCCACCAATCTTGTACAACTTTGTTTCCTTCTCTGAATCTCTGTTGAAAAAGTCAATTTTATGAGATGTAAATTTACCAATTTCAAAGTTTCAGCAGAAATTAAATCAGGAGGTCCAATTAATTCAAAGCCTAGCTGGGTCTTTTTGTGTTCCATGAAATGTATGCAAGTCAGATACGTGTAGTATTCTGTGAGTCTTGGACCTTTGGAAGCTTAATCAGTACGTCCAACTGATGACTACCCATTTTGTGTTTTTTTATTTTTTTTTTATTTTTTTTCCTTAATTTTTGAAGGATCTGATTATATTTCTTATGATACGATTTATATTAGTGTTTCTAAACCTTGAAACAATCTCATATATTAGATGTAGTGAAGACGTTGCTTCAAGGAACTAATGAAAAAGTTTGTATACGCGATCTAAATTAATCTTTTACATTTTTATGAGTCTTTTAAATACATATATTTATAATTTAATCAGTTTGTTGTATCCTTCCCTACAAATCTAAATTTCAGATCATTTATATGAAGTTTCCTTGCACGAAATCTCACTTGCCGTTGACCTAAACTAGTTTATTATTCAAATTCCTATGTCAATTTTTATTTTATTTTCCTATTCACGTTAAGGTAGTTTGGTTTTGATCAACTACACCGCCTACTATTCTCATCTAAATCTACGTTGTGGACCATTCATTCTTAACAGTGTACTATTGAACAAAATATATGCGATTGGGTATAGTTTGTCGGTAACACATGACGTTTGCATGATTGGATATCCAATACTTCGACACTCTCCTATGACATATATATGCATACACACACGATAAAACTATAAGAACAACCATTATTTTTTATTATCTTATTATTTATACCATTAAAAAAAGATATCGTGGTTGAATATAAAACGTATTCTGGTAGAATATAAAAGATAGCCTACCAGAATATTAATAGCATAAATGGTAAATTTTAAAATTGATGGCAAAATAAAGTAGTGTTATTTTATGGAATTCTTAAAAATTTCTCAATATGTGTGTATATAAAACCTTATTAATTGTTCACTTACAAGGACTAGTCCCTAATCATACACTCATAAGTACATTACCTTTCAGGGAATAACAAAAATAAGTGTTGCATAGCAAATTTGGTATTTATTTCATTTAGTGGTTAGATGTATGACATGAGAAATTGGTTCCTGTAAGGGATGATTATGTGTGTATTGGCGTTATTGACAAACAATTGTTATCATCGAGACCTGACTTGGACCTCGTACAACATGGAGGAGTACAAATTAAGGTAGAATTAATAAAACATACTGATCCAATGTAATGTGGGTTAAAAATCAAGTTTTATTGGATTGGGTTAGATTGATTAGGAAAAAGAATCCAATTAGCTTGGATTGATTTCAGTTTTTGAGTGCTAAATTGCAATTAACCGATACGATCCAAATCGACGTCTTATGTACTAAAAAAATCAAAAAATTCCTTGCGTTAAATGTTACAAATATTTACCACAAACACTCTATTTATTTGATGTTGAAAAACCTACACTTTAGTCAATTTAGCCTTACATCTTTGAAGACATAAGCTTAAAATTTGGTTTTGGTTTCTTTCATTAAGATTGAATCATATCTTTCGTCAAGTTATGAGTTGTAATAAAGAAGGGAAATAAAAAATAAAATAAAATAAAAACCAAATATTTAGATTGAACTGGATTGGAATTTTGTACCTAATTAAATCAGATTGGATTGGATGCAACATCTCAAAATCCAAAATAATATTGAGCTGAATTAAATGTAGTGAAAAATATCGAATTCTATTGGATGCTCACCTCAAATCATTTGTGCCTCTCAAGGTCTCACGTACACAGTATGAAGAAAAAAATTCTATCTTCTTGATATTCATATACTTGTACCAAAGGGCTCGCCCTTCTCATGTAATGATCATTCGACTTTAGGTTTTTCTCAGTGCGGTGTCATAAAATTTCCTGTACACAGTTAATATAATCTAGCAGATGTGGTCGTAGATTTTTTTGATGACATTTTCTTGTCAATTTTTTCGTTGAAATATCTATTATTGTCGATGCTATATAATATTATCTTATTATAAAACGTGTGATCGGGTTCATCATTTTAAAGTCAAATTTCACTAGGGATATCGGATAAGATGTCATGAAAAATAACTCAACTTCTTCAATACTTTTATATTTGTCGTTGAAAAAAAATACTGTGAAGATATCTTTATTTAAGAGATGATGTAAACATCAGTTTCACCTTATTGTTTAATTATTTAATCCATGCACTAATGTTTCATTCAGATCCCATTAATGAAAATCGCTCTAAATCACCAACAAATATTGATAGAGTACTACTCATGTCATCGAAAAAATTAGAAGCCGATTAGTACAAATTGAAAGACGAAAATGTATGATAAAAATAATTCGCTAAAATTCGCTTAGTTTATATGTGTGTGTGTGTATATATATATAGCTAATAGTATAACATAAGTTAGGCTAATTTTAAGTTAACATAAAGTTGGACATAATCTTGCCATTTTAAAAGGCTTTCGCGTTTTTATTTTTAGATACTAGTTAAGCTAAGAGAATCTCCAAATCATAAGAAGAGCATATATAATTATTTTCCAAACAAATTAACAACGATGCATCTTTTTAAGTTGTATCCTCAACAATAAACTGATCTCAAACTTTTAACTTTTTTTCTGGGACATGGATAAGAATTGCTTCGTGAATACTCGAGATTTGGCATTGGACATGATTTACGTGATAAATGAGCAAGGCATCTAACTTAAAACTCTAGCCTTTTTTTTTCCCCCCCTCTTCTCAACAAACTAAAGATGATCGGCTGTCAAAGGATGATCAAAATTACAGACAAAATCCTAGATATCTCCCACCTTTCTTTAAGGACCAGAGAAAGTGATGGAAGACCTAAAAATAGTATAGTTTGAGACCAATATATACCAACGGATCAATGATTTAAAAGGAGCGGAAAAAAAAAAAAAAGAAAAAGAAAAAGAGGATGTTTCCTGAGAAGATCAAAATTAATGAGCTTAGCTTGTATTTGAAACCTTCTTTTGTGGGGCTTGAGAATGTGTTGGGCTACCATTTAGAATAAAGTAAATATTAGATCATGAAACAAACATGCGAGGTTTTTGGTTAAGATCTCAATAAAGGGAAATCATGTTGAGAATTGAGAGAAACTCTTTTATAACTTTTATATTATACATGTTGTCGTGTAATCATATGATCAACTTGACCCACGAGTGGCAGGCCAGGTTGTGAAGTTGGGTTTGGGTTGGAGTTGGACCTTATAATGAGTTGGGACATGGACCCCTTTTGGAAGTACTGCAGTCAAACATTACCTGTTGACCAGTAGTCAAAATTACGAAAGTAGCCCTAGCTAGCTGTTGGTCAATTTGCTTCCGCCGAAACTTTTGTTCCCCCCAAATCCCAAAGAAGCCCCACATATGCTGGTTTTTGCGCTTTGTTTTTACCTTCATAAACAAGTGCAAAAGATTCTATATGTGATTCTCTGAGCCGAAAAGTGAAAAAGAAATGCAAACATATGGTTATATATTGTGATACTAATAAATTAGTCTAATGTCATAAATTTTTTCAAAGCCTTCCTTTTTCTTTCTATTTTTCTGTTCTAATTTCTTGGCGTGCAGATTGAAACTTGTACCCATTGGCTACTTCCTACTTCATGCATATTAAAAGCCACTTAGAAGTAATTATTTGAATATTAATTGAGGATGAAACGTTTGACAAAGTTACTCAATATAAACGCATATCAAGTTAGCCAGTGATTAATGTATAGCACTTTATCTATTTATTATTTATGTTTTACATGTATTTTGGCTGCTTGATCACAGCGGAAAAGCTTTTTCCAGCGAGTGCAGTTCAAGAAATAACAGTGTTATATAGGTGACAGAAAATTATATGTACTGTGTGATGGTATAAAATATCTTACAATAAACTCCATATTGTGTACTACGTATATCATGTCACTTTTTATGGATCGCCTGTCTTTTTATAATAATCTGTACAGAGTGTGATATTTCCCGTGCATTCTTATTACTAAAGTCTTGAAACGAAATATGATCTATATACAGACTTTATATTTATACATATTATGAAATTGCAAAGTAAACTCTTTATGGTTTGTTTATTGGATGGATAAAATAGATGCAATTAGTTACTATATTGCCAGAATAAATAACTCACCTTTTACTAGTTAGTGTACGTACATACCTACATATATTTGTATTCGTTTGAATTTCAATTAGAAATGACAGATTTCGTATTGAGTAAGATCATCGATAAAAGTGCTCATTGAGTAAACGATTAAAACTCAACCTTATATGGAGATCTTATATACAACAACAAACAATTTAACATTATCTAAAGATCCTAACCAATGTTTTTTGTTTCCGATTATTGAAAATAAATGCCGAAACAGGTTACAAGAAACGTTAAGTTGCATAACTGGCAAAGCAAAATTTGTTAGACCTTCGTGCGTATAATGATCAATATGTATAATATATATTGATTACTTTTTTAAAACTATTTAATTAAACGAACTTATGCCACTGTCTACTATAATAGTTTGACCGACTAAAATATCTCAACACAACTGGCAGATGGAAAATTTTATCAAAATTCCTTATTTATTATAGCTCTTATATTTCATAACCAATAATAAACTCAAACAATGTATAAAAATCATAGACTGGTGTTGCCTTGAAGTCTTTAACAACGAAATTTAAGTAGAAACTGATGTTCAGGAGGAAGACAAGGATTTTTTTTTTTTTTTTTATAATTACTGACACATAATTAAACATGCATTAGAAGAGGAACAAAAAGAAAATATTGATTATTCGTTACGTTTAATAGTAATATAATTTCCATCTAGGTTTCAACAAGGGCCCTGCTCCAGATTCTGCACAAGAGTCCAATTGGACGGTCAGATTTGAAAAAAGACAAAAACTTTCTGCGTTCTGAACCACAAACAGTGTGTCTGGTTCAGACGAACAACAGTGATCAAGCATGTGCATTGGACGATCATGATCAGATGCACCCCCGGCCCAGATGAAATAATCGTATTATCACTGTGTTGTGAAATTCAGGAAGATGGAAAAAAAGAACTTCAGAGATCAGACTCAGGTGTAAGCTAAAACTCGCAGTTTCATGAGATCATGTATGACCATCATCTCGTACTAACAATATTGTCCTACGTAGTTACGTTAATTATTTTACAAAACGAAATATATAATATATTAAAATATAAATATCAAACAGTGCATTTATCATTAATTATATCGTGGCTAAGAGAAGTGAGGAAAGCGAAGAAGAACAAACAGAAAGGTTTTTATATGTAACCGAAAGAGAGGTTGAAAAAAAAAAAAGGAAGGTCAAAAAATAAAAGGAAAAAGAAAAGAAAAACAAAAAGCGAATTAAGAAGATAGAATTATCCCATTTTCACTCCCTCTATGTAAGACGGAGAAAAAGGAAGCTAAGCAAAAGAAGAAAAAAGAATTCTTTGACTGATCATCAGCTGAGCACTGAGATGAAGACCATGACGGATCATAACCATCACCATATCATGATCATCGTGATACGTTCTTGATCTTTTCTCTTTTGTAATAAGAGTAAAATTAATTAAATAACTAAATATTCATCTTGACCACCATATTCATCAACAATATACGATGATCTGGACCGTTCAAGTTCTTCTCTTCCTTTCCGTTTTCATCTGGTGAAGTCATGAACAAGGCTAGGTCGGTCGGTGACGTTGAGTCGCCAAGAGAGGAACGAAATGCCGGTCGTGTCGGAGTCGTACTGATGATTGTGATCGTTATCGTCCATGAACCTGAATTCGTTGGCTGAAGATAGGCAAGGCATTTTCTGCGTCTGCGAGTGAGGGAAATTGTTCCACGGATTGTTGTGATATTGGTTGCTGCTGAACATGTGGCTTGGCTCTAATACAACTCCTGAACCCCCTCCGTTCGCCGCCGCCGCGCTTGCTCTCCTTTCTTCCTTCTTGAACCGAATCCCGCAAGCATTGCAAAGCGACTGCCAAATACAAAATAACGAAAAATTATGTGGCATGTAACAACTATTTTATGTTTTCAGATTTATGTCATAATTTCCATAGTTTCGAATAGTCCAATATTTGTATGACACAAATTCAAAACTTCAACATCCTTTCATACATTTTTGAAAAGTTCTCAAATAACTAGAGAAAATAATACTTTTTGTTTGTACTTGATAAAAATTAATGTATCTAATTATTGGTAATTTATGATGAATAAAATGTACCTTGGGACCTCTGGGGCCGTTTCTCCAGAGAGGAGTTGAGGTGGTGTCGCAGTTTGCGCAGCGGCGAGCAAGAAGAGGATCATTGTTGCTATTGTTTCCGCTAGTGTTGTTATTATTCCCACCACGGCCGTTTTTGTGGGATGTCGTTTGGGCGGCGGAAGAAGAGTGCTTGGACTGCAACAAGTCCCAGCAGAAGTTGGAAACGCCGTGGCGGGTTCGCTTCTCGACGTCGACGGCGTCTTCCGAGCAGAGGCGAGTGGAGGGGGTTCCGAGGGAGAGAGTGCAGTCCACGGACGACGAGGAAGGAGGAGAGCCAAAGGAATACATGTGATGATGATCAGGCTCGTATTGATGATGATCAAACGGCTTGTGGTTGTTGGGCATTGAAAATAGCATTGAGAAGGATGATGAGTTGCTTTGGCTGTGGTGGTGAAACATACCACATGAACATGGCCCCACCATGTTACCCTGAGAGCTACTGCACCTATGCATCACTTTTCTCTTCCTCTATATCAATCGTCTCTTAAATTTCTTCCCCAACATATAAAATGATGAAATGGGGTTTTTCTTCTGTTTTTGTTTTTGGAAGATAATGAAGGAGATGAAACAGAAAGGGATATATATAGACCAAAAACGGGGTTAAAGAGAGCAAAAAAGAGTCCTAGTACGAGCCAAATAGCAAACTGAGAGCGAAAATGTTGTCTAGTGTAATAATATAATGCTTTAATGGTACGAGACTAGTGTTTGATGGTAGTGTGGGAACTGAGAAGATGAGAAGGGTGTTGTTGTCCGTTAGCTTTATAAGCTAATAAAATGGCGAAATACCAGTCAGCACCTGCAGTCCACGTTGTCGTGAAATGCAAAGAGAAAGGGCATAGATGGCTAGAGAGATACAAAGATAAACACACGTATACGTATATAGATAGATATAGAAAGGGAAATTATATTAAAAGGGCAGGAGGAGAGAGAGAGAGAGAGAGAGAGAGAGAGAAGGGACAGAGAGGGACCCAATTTGCATGTTACAGAGAGAGAAAGTGTTGGACAGAGATAGAGGAAGAAGACTGAGTCATCTAGTCAGTGGAAAATCAGTGAGTGTGATGGATTGGTAGGGTATGAACAAGTGTATGCCTTCTCTACCTCTCTTTGTTGTTTTTCTTGGCGTTTCGAGTCCCCATCCCATGCCATTCAATTTATACTAGAGAGAAAGAGAAAGAAAGATGGTCATGGGTGCCCCTAACAAAAATCTTAAAATTCATTTTTATTTTTATTATTATTTTTCTTCTTGTGGGTGAGAGGAGTGAAGTAGTTGGTCATTGGGGTAGTCAAAAGAGCCCACGTGACTAGCGGGAACAGTCTTCCATGGATCTGCCTTCTCCGATCACGAGGCCTATTTTAGTCTCAAACCCAATACATCAAAAACCTCTGTCCGTATCCGTATCTCTGCCTCCTCCTCTGTTCTGTCACTGCCAGCCTCCCAAGGAAAATGGAATAGTCCCTCCATTAAGCACTCCCACGCACCTTCTCTGCTGCGTGTGCGTGACTCCACCTTCCAATCCAATAATATTTAATTACAACAAACAATTTTCTACCCAAATTACAACAAACAATATTACAATTTTTTACTCTCGGTATATTCTTTTCTTATAGGAGATTCATGCCCTATTTTAGAATTTGAGTTTTGTTACAGTAAAAAATTTTCACAAATAATCACATTTAATTTTTTTACTACAGTCAATCTCGCACTAAGAAAAAGGCTAACCATTGTCATCATCAATGACCCATTCGCTATCTTATACATGTACTAATTTGATTCGATTTTAGCCATAGAATATCAAATACTATTTCACCACAATATTGCAAAGCTTAATTTAAAGTTTGTCACATCCATTCGCCTTCAAAACTAAGAGAAACAAGAAGAAGAAGTTCATGTGTGACTTTATGTTATGAGAAAAATTATATTACAAATTTAACTTAGATGATAAATTATTCTTAATTGTAAGTTGAGTTGTTTGGTAAGAAAAATTATATTACAAATTAACCTGGATGATAAATAACTCTTAATTGTAAGTTGAGTTGTTTGGTACACTCGTTTATATTTATTAATCTTATAACATTGGCTTAAATTATGGGATTTATTGTTATTATTCAAGAATGTTATATTATAGATCATTTACTTACATGTTAATTCTCATATGACATTATGGTAATCTAACGCGATAACTTAGTAGAAAAACATTTAATATGATCAAGATAGCATTGGTTATTTTTCTTTTTGAATTGAGAACGTCAATCGAATGCGCGCTTCAAATGGTCTCGTTCACTTCACAGATTTGAATTTTCAATTCGAGTTCAGATGTGACATTTTTTAAGAGTTTTTTACTGTAGCAGAATAAGTTAAATATGACATTTTCTGAGAGCTTTAAACTATAAAAACTTAAAACTAAAAATTTAGGGCCCGTTCACTTCGCTGATTCGAGTTTTTAATTCGAGTTGAGATGTGATTTTATATGAGAGCTTTTTACTGTAACAAAAAAATTAATTGTGACTGTTTCTGAGAATTTTTTATTATAATAAAATTTAAATTTTAAACTCGAATTGATAAAGTGAACGAGAATCGGTGAAATACCTTAGTCTCAATACTAATAGAAACATATGTGTAGATTTATCCTAGACTATGGCAACAAATTGCAATTAGGTTTAATGATATGTTATGTGCACAGACAGCTTTGATGATAATCAAAAGAACATGTCAAATGGTAAGGAGTTACATCCATCTATCCCATCATTGTCACGCGCATTAATGAGGGTGGGGATAAGGTCACTGTCGTATTAGTGTCACAGAAACAGAAAAGAAGGGTATAATATAGTTTTCAAACGAACAATGACCACACCTCTCCAAAATCAACCACTACTCCGTTAGATGTTTGTAGGGGCGTCAAATCCGTCAAAATACCCGGAACAAACAACAGCAGCCAGTTTTTTTGGCAACAAACAACAACCATATGATCATACAAAGCCGTACCGTGGAATCACGTGAACCTCAAACAAAGCCAATTTCGTCATGATAAACACCTCAAGGTTCCGAATCCAGAACTCATCACTGCGGGAGAAAAGCTTTTTAGTGTGAGTAGTATTGGTAATAATAGAAGATCCGGAGATTTTGATCAGACAGAGGAAAAAGCTAAAGAGAGAGAAAGGACATATGATCATACAAAGCCGTACCGTGGAATCACGTGAACCTCAAACAAAGCCAATTTCGTCATGATAAACACCTCAAGGTTCCGAATCCAGAACTCATCACTGCGGGAGAAAAGCTTTTTAGTGTGAGTAGTATTGGTAATAATAGAAGATCCGGAGATTTTGATCAGACAGAGGAAAAAGCTAAAGAGAGAGAAAGGAGAGAGAGAGAAAAAAAAAAAAAAAAAAAAAATATATATATATATATATATATATATATAGGGATAGAGAGAGACAGGTTTTGGGTCAAAGATTCATACAAACTGAAAGAAAAGAAAAGAAAAGGTAAAAAAAACTACAAAAAAAAAAGAGGACCAAAATTATAAAATCAGTAAAGAAAAAGGGTGACCCACATCCATCATGGACAAGCCCGAACAAACAAACTCCTCTGGAATACCGACCCCATTCGATCAAAGATTCAAAACAAACAACAAGAGAGAGAGAGAGAGAGAGAGAGAGAGAGAGAGAGAGAGAGAGAGAATCAGATCGTCTAGAGATTGGTGATCCACTGTTCGACAAACGGGACGACCACCGCTTTCCAAAAGATGCTCTCTATTCGCTTTGTAAACTACGATTAGCCCAAGACACTAAGCGTTACATTTTGCCATTTTACCACATGCCAAGACGATAATCCCCATGCTCTCCACGCTCCTTCTCTTCACGTGCGTTTCACTTTCTTCTTCTTATTATTCTGTTTTGTCCCTTTGAGTGTGGCGACTGACGAATACGCGTCTCCGCCGCGGAGTGGGGGCGGAATAGGAGCCTGCTCTAATGCCCATAAATCCGAGTCATTAATGAAGATCTGTTTATTCTCTTTTTTAATGGAACTCTGGGATTTGCTTAATCATGCAAAAACCAAACGTAATCTAATTATTATTATTATTTATTTTATTTTTTTGTTTCTCCACCCGCGGATAATAATATTACACGATCTTACATGGTCGTTGATCATGATGTTATGTGGCTCGTTGGATTTGGTGGGACCCGGTTCGTCTCGGTTCCTCTTTTCCAAGGCAGAAAGCCAGATCGTATCTGCGTCTCTCATAAATACTCATCACTATCGCTAATCAAGGTGCCGCGTGGGCGTCGTGGAGGGATTTACTCGCATGCATGCATGCAAATGTTGGATATATAACTAAAAGAAGAGGGACCAAAAGAAAATAAAAAATAAAAATTATTAAAATCACGAGCTTTGGAACCCCCATTAAAATACATACATTCCTCAAAAGCAACAAGATACAACTGGAATGTCTGTCCCTCTCTTTCTCTACCTATATAACTCTTATAGGTTTTCCGAGGGTGGTTTTTTTTTTTTTTTTTTTTTTTTTTTTTTTTAAATTTTTGGGGGTTTTTTTTTTTTTTTTTTTTTTTTTTTTTTTTTTAAATTAATGGGGTCATTTCTTTTTGGGTTTTTGCTTGGGAGGTTTGGGATTGGTCTGGTGATTTTGTTGTTTTGAGTAGTGTACAGGATCTTCTTTGCCAGGTAAGACTAAAGTAATAATATTATAAATAATTGGTCGTCGATTGATAAAAGAAAAAGCAATATCGTGGAGAAGAGAATGCAGTGGACCAGTATTTGGAAAAGGGGGTTGTAGGAAAAACCTCTAATAAGCCGTCAAATGAAAGTTATATCCTTGTCAGTATCATGACATCTAAGAAACACTGTAACCTCTTATTGTCTCCTCTAAGGAGGTCTAAGTCTAACCACCATATAAAGCCCTGCCAATAAAGGTATTAGGATTCCTCTTTGTTTATATACACATAGATATAGATTTCTTTTTGGTATTTCTCTCAATTTTATTCGAAATTCGGGTATTGTATGTGAATAAACAATTTTTGACAGCAGTTTGAATTCGTGTATTGTGTGTGAATCAACGATTTCTGAAAGTAATTTTCCTGATATTTTGTGTGAATTAAAAGATTAACTGATTCGTCCTTTTATTTTTATTATTTCCCGATTCCTTCAGATAAGCTTCCGCTGCATCATATTTCTTTTCCTTTTTGCTACTTAAACTCGTTGATCAAAATGTGATAAAAGATGATTTATTATCAACCCAAAAAAAACAAAAAAGGAAGCATTCCCATTAAGTACACGATGAACGTACGAAATCGTATATATAATAAGTATCCATGAACATATATTAGTATTGCATAGATCTGTTTATATCTGTTTTCTATCTTATTGGTGCAAAGCAAAACTGCAACTTGATGGGTCTATTTCGTATTTTCTTATCACTGGTACTATACCATATACTTGGTCATCAGAATATATATATACTCGCAGCTTTTTGCTTCTCTAGGAATTAGTACTGAACATTTTACATGGAAAGTGGCTCATCATACTATGGGATTTTAAAAACTATTTGGAAGCATTAACATGACAACCATTTTGTTCCTAATTATTGCCCATATTA